GCCGCCGACGCCTGGCCCCGCCCCCGGACCGGCCCGGGCCCGTCCCCAGAGTCCCCCGCCCCAGGCGCGCGGCGGGCGGCCGCTGTCCGCGGTGCTGATCCAGCGCAGGCCCGGCCACCGGGCGGTCCCTTCCCGGTCCCCAGGGGCGGCGGGGGGCGCCGGCCCACACGCGCGGCGCGCAGCCCGGGAGCAGCCCGGCGCCCCGTCCGCCGCCGCCGCCGCCGCCCCCCCATCTCGGTGCTGACGTCAGCCCGACCGGAGCGGCCACGCGCCCCGCCCCCGCGTCTCCAGGGCAACCGTGGCTTTCGATTGTTACTGTGGGAACCGGAGGTAACAGTCTACAGCCATGGTCGCCCCGCAGCACGCCCACGCTCCGCGCCGCACGGCGCCGCTCGCTGCTGCCCCCAGGAAGGGGGAGGCCGAGAGGAGGAGGAAGCGGGGGCGGCGAGTCAAGATGCAAGGTGTCTGCGCGGGTGGCGGGAGGGTTGGCGCAGGCGGGGGCGGGCTCCTCCGGGGTCTGATTGCCGCGCTTCCGCCGGGCCGAGACGGAGCGTGGTGTGTGGAGTAGGTCTGACCGCCAGCCTCGGGGACCGTCCTATTTTCCTAGCCAAGGTACTGCTGCCAGGGGATGGCGAGAAGGGCAGCAGTTACGATATTTTTTTTTTTTTTTTTTTTTAATCTCCTCAGTAGGACGGAGGCTGCTGGGACCTGGATGCAAGAAAAAATGCCTCCCGTGGACTGTAGACAGGAAAGTTTGCCTAAAAGCACCACAGTCTCATTCTTCCAGGAACCCTTAGCTGAGTAGGCAGAGGGCAATGAGTAATTCTTGAACTCGTTTTCTGATGGCATTGCAACCTCCCCTCGCTCCGCTCCTCACTCTCTGCTCCTCTTAAACCATGTAGGGTAAGGGAGGGTGCCAACCTTCAGGAAAGCCAGTGGGTTAACCAGGTCCTTAAAGCATTGTCTGAACATAACATCCTCCCCTCAGTCTAAGTGCTGGATTCCAACCTGAAACAGTATCTCAAATTGGCCCTAAAGAGGGGGAGTGAATCGGAGGGGCTGAAGTCCTATTGTGCCAGTGAAGTGTGTGCAATGTCCTCTTCAAAAACGTCACCTGCGTGCTCGCGTGGGCTGCACATACACTGACGTTGGAACGATACAGAGATGATTAACATGGCTGGTCCCTGAGCAAAGGTGACACCCAAATTCATGAGGCGTTCTGTATTTAAAACAACACGCCACCTGCAGCCACCATCACCTACTGCAGGAGCTGCTGCATATTGGGTGCAGAATTTTCCTAGGGATAGTGTTGGGAATGGTAAATGCAACACAGCCCTGCCACCCATTAAGCCAGTTTTTCTTTACTCTCCCATACCCACTCCTTTTCTAAGCTTATAAGACAATTGGTGCTGGTTTCACAGCTAATCCATGTCCACGTGCTGCCTTCCACCTAAGGACCCTGAGGTCTTACATTAAGATGCACTCAATTCTGGAACCCAGTGGGCATCCATGGGCAGTGTCTGCAGGTGGGAGCAATGCACAGAGAAGCATCCCAAGCATCATCATCCCAAGCATCATCAGCTGATTGTTATGGCCATGTTGTTTCTAAGCTTTCTGTAAAATGAAATAGTTCTTCTTTTGGGCAAGTCTGAAGTGAGGACCAAACAGGATCATATAAGTAAAAACCATTAAAAACTGCAGAATGCTATTTTGTTTTTAAGTACTATTCTATTAGGCTACTGTATATTTATCAGGCTGTGGTGGTGGTGGGGAGAACCCAGCTCTGAGCACTTAGGCAAAATGATCAGGAGAAGGGGAGATCTCTGACACCGGGATTGCTGAGAGGTTCTTTGCTAAGGGACTCTCTCTTCCATCTGCTTTAGGAATCTAAAGTGGAGTGAAGAAGGAAAGAGAAACTGCAGGGGTATTTTTAAAAGAAGAAACCAAGTCTTTTGCACGTGGAACCCATTTAGAGAAGGTGGTCAGAGGAGGAAAAGAGCCAGAAAGACTGTGTACAATGTGGAGTTTCTCAGTGTCTTGGAAATCATTTAGTGCACCCACTCCAGCTTATTTTATGGATTAGGAAGGTGAGGCCCAGACAGGACATTTAGCCCAAAAGGAGGGAGGGAGTGGTGGCCTCTGCTCACCTCCTGTAGGGCTGCTGAGGAAGCAGTGGTCTAGAATGTGAGTTCCTGGATCCGAACCAACTATGGGTAAGTTATGTAGTCTCTCCATGCCTGTTTCCTCGGTTGTAAAATTAGGTTAAAGTGTCTACCTCATGAAGGTGCGAGATTAAATAAAACTCCACTTGCCACATTTAGCATAGTTAGCACTCAATAAATGATATTCCCCTATCATCTGAATCTCATTTTCCTTAGTTATAAATTGAAAAAGGTTAAATCAATGATCCTTGAGAGCTTGTCCGCCCGCCCCCCCCTCCCATGGAGAACATGAGAATCACAGGGGCTTTTATCAAATAACACATATTAACAGACTTACATTCTCTCTTTTCCCAAAGTTTTAAAATATGATTTGCATGGAAATGACCAGGGATAGCTGTCAAAATGCAGATTCTGGGTCCCAGTGATTGAAGATTTAGATCTGGAATTTGGCTCCAACATCCAAGTTGTTGTTTTAAATGTATTTTTATTGATTTCAGAGAGAGGAAGATAGATAAGAGGGAGAGAAACATTAATGATGATATAATCATTGATCAGCTGCCTTTTGCACACCCTCTACTGGGGATGAGCCACAAACTGGGCATGTGCCCTAACCTGGACTGAACCCTAACCTCCTGGTTCATAGGTTAATACTCAACCATTGAGCCATGCCAGCTGAGCAATCCCAACTTTTAACATAACATGATGCCAGGTGACATAGATAATTGTTGGAGCCAGATCCGTTCTCTTCTGGGTGAATTTGTTTTTCAGGGGAAATTCTTATCTCAAGCATGAGCCCTTCTGCTGCACCTAATACTGCTCTGCTCTGCCTTCACCCTCCTAACTTTAAGCCCTGGCTTAAAATTCATTCCCCAATATATCTCCCCCTCTCTACTTTAATCTTCACAACAGTCCAAGGAGCAGTGGCTGTAGTTAGCTCTGAACTGCAGGGCCACTGCATTCATTCCATTTTGAACTGCTTATTTCCAGAAAAGTCAGAAAAATGAATTTTTGTGTGAAATTCCTAAAATTTCAAATATCACAAATCCATTTTTTTTCTAAAACACCATGGGCCCAATCCAACAGGCCTGTAGGAATAATTCAGTCCATTTCAGAGTTTTCACCATTTGCTAAGAAAAAGACCCATTTAAAAACCATGAGCAAGACAGAAGCAGACTGAGGTCACTTTCTCCCCACACCCACTTTCGGCAGCGAAGGTCCTAAATCCAGTAAACTGGGTCTGTCTAGGCAGGTAACTCATTTTTAAAAAGAAAAATATCTTGCACAGATGCTAGTTATAGTGACAAACTCAGAAGTTTTGGTAATTTAAGGACTATTAGTCTGTTGTCTTAGGATGGACTGGAGTCTTTCTGCTCCATTATTTAAGTCCCTGGGGGCAACCATGCTAGAGGGATAGTTTGTTATGATCTTCTAGAAAAGCAACAAATTGTTGAGCCTCCAGAGAGAGAACTGAAATCGGGGAGCGCAGGAGGTAGGGGAAATGGCTGAGAGGACAGGCTTTAGAAACAACTGCTAACCAGATGGGCTGCTTAGCCTGGGCTGTGATCACTTCAGTGTAGCATCAATCTCAGAAACTGCAAATAGGGGCAAGTTTGGAAAAGGGTTTGTTCTGTGCCGTCTTTGGCCTCAATCCAAGATTTATCACCATCCCACCCTTTGAACTCCTAGCTCAGAGGAGCTAAGGAAGTTATGGAGAAAGCAGAGAACATAAGCCAGGGTTCGACAAAAGGCCAGCACACAACTCTCGGGGGTCAGGATGGAGGAGGCCTCAACACAGTACGGTCCGGGCAGAGCCTTGTCAGATACTCTCTTCCCAGAACTTCCAATACAAATTCTTCCCCGATTCAGCCGAGAACGCCTTTCCTTCAGCGTGGGACCTCAGACTTCCATCAAAAATGTGTGTATGCGCACACATGCAAGAGCTCCGCCTGGGGACTAACTGGAAACACCCCCTTCCTTGGTGCTGCCCTTGGTGCATGTGGAGATTTGTTATAAAATGGGTTTGTTTTCTGTATCAGGAAAAAGATGCTCAAAATTTATATCACCACTTCGTGTGGAAGACGGTGGTGCCGGCCCCTGCTGTTCCCACGCCACCCTCCCCTCATTCAGGGCTCCACTAGCCTTTCCAGGAGTATCAGACGCCAAGGTATCATCCACTAAGGCCACCTGCTCCCCATTTTCTTTGAATACAGAGCTGGGCTTATGTAATCTGGGTTTTAAGAACGGATATTTGTCTTTTTTTAATATGTATTTTTAGTGATTTCAGAGAGGAAGGGATGGGCAGAGATAGAAATCACTGATGACCAGAGAATCACTGATCAGCTATCTCTTGCATGCCCCCCACTGGGAACCGAGCTTTCAACCCAGGCATGTCCCCAGACTAAGAATGGAAACATGATCTCCTGGTGCAACCACTGAGCCACACCACAGGGCAAGAACTGATATTTGTCTTTTTTAAAAAATATATATATATTTTATTGGTTTTTTTACAGAGAGGAAAATAGAGTTAGAAACATCAATGAGAATCATCGATCAGCTGCCTCTTGCACACCCCCCTACTGGGGATGTGCCAGCAACCAATGCCCTTGACCGGAATCGAACCCGGGACCTTTTAGTCCACAGGCCGACACTCTAACCATTGAGCCAAACCAGTTTCGACTGATACTTGTCTTAATTGGTGATGGTGAGGAGCAAAAACAACAGTGGAGGTCCCAGGGTAGGGGCAAAGGGTGAGCAAGGATCGGATCGTAGAGGCTGTCCCAAAGTCAGTGTCCCCACAGGGATGAGGAGGAGGATACAGGGACCCAGGCATTTGATCTTTCACTCTTTCATTTGATCTTTCACAAACTGGTCCAAGAACTTGAGGTAGGCCTGGCGCTGTGGTGCAGCTGCTGGAATGAAGTGGCCACCAGAGTGGGTGAGAGTGATGAATCCAGTGAATCTGCTAGCCAGTTGCATACTCTCCTGAGAGGGGATGACACGGTCAGTGTCCCCAAAAACATGGAGTGAAGGCAGCGACAAGGGCCCCTGCAGGATGGATTCCTGGAGGCCAAGGCCCCGAGGACAGAACCCCGATACCAAGATGATAAACCTCGGCAAGGGGAAACGGGGGTCACCTGCTTGGCCAAGGGCACACACAAGGGCTGCCAGCGCAGCCCCCTGGCTGAACCCAAGGAGCCCATCAAAAGGCCCCTGCTTGTTCAGTGCCTGAGCCACCGTTCCCAGAGCTTCTTCCAGACCTCTGCACACTGTAGGCTCTTCCAGGGCGGAGAAAACGTCTGCCTCCTGTTCTGAAAACCACCAGCCTCGAGGCTGCTCCTCTGGAGGGCAGGACCCTACAGAGATACGGGGGGATAGGGTGGGGTTGGGGCACGGGGGAATGCAGGAGGAAAGAAATGAGGAAGGGAGGGTTTGGGAACGACAGGGAGAAAAGCGACTGAGGGGAGAGAGATCTGGGGGGAATGAAGTTGGGAATAGGTTGATGGGCAAGGGGAAGGGCGGGCGGACCAAATCAAAGTGTAAGCGTGGGAGGCTGGGATTAAAGAAATGAAAGGTATGGGTAGAATGCAGTGGGAGGGTGGGAGGAATGAATGAGGACAGAGCAGGGGTGCGCTGGAAAGTGTTATAGAGACGGGGCGAGAGAGAGAGGACTCGGGACGCATTTCCGGGGCAGGACTCCTCTCACCGGACTCCGGCCCGGCGCCCGCTGCGTCCACCACCGGGTGCGGGCCGCTGAGGCACACGAGCTCGGCGCGGCCCCGCAGCGCCTTCCTCAGCGCTCCCGTCTTCTCGCGGAAGCCCCGCTCGCTCTGCCGGAAACCCGCCAAGCACAACACACGCAGTGGCTGCGGCGCGGCCATAGTGCGAGACAGCGCGCCAGCGGGAACGGAAGCGGCCTTTCCCCGAGCGGAAGTTCAATTACGCGAGGGGCGGAGCCAAAGGCCGGTAACACCCTGAAGGCGGGCCTGAGAGCGGGCGACCGTTCCCACAAGGCGGAGGGGGGAGGCGCGGCCAAAGCAGGCGGATACCTGAGACTCGGGAGCGGCTCACGGTGCGAGTGGCACCACTTTCTCTTCTCTGCAGCCGCAATCCTCGCAAGCCACGGCTGGAGAAAGGCGCGCGGGTCCCTCCTGCACCTGAGTTGCACACTTTGGTCAGGTCCCACTTCTGCGACGTCGTCCCTCCCGCTCGCGTGCATTTCCCGTAGCGGCCGCATGGCGGCGGCCACGGCTCGCATCGCTCGGGAGACCATTCCTCCCTCCTTGGGAGTCCCTGCCTACCTTCCCCAGCGCAGGCCGGCGGGGTGCCTGGGAGGGCCGGTCCCGTCCGTGGTTCACTGTCCACGGCCCCAAGGAGCTGCCCGCATAAAAGTCCATGGGGTAAGGCTGCTGCCAGGAAATGTCCCTCAGGGCCACCGCCGCCTACAGGAGGAAAAGCGGATAGAGCATCTGCCAGCACTTCTGCACAGGATTATTTCATCCTCACATGGCAGAGTAGATCCTGTTATCAATGCACACAGAGGAAATGTCAGGCTAAAGAGGCTAAGAGACTTGCCCAAGACCACTCAGTTAGGAAGTGGCTCAGCTGTAACTACTAGTAAGTACTGCCCGCCTACCACACTCCACTTTATTTTTTAAATATATTTTATTGATTTTCTCAGAGAGGAAGGGAGAGGGATAGAGTTAGAAACATCAATCAGCTGCCTTCTGCACACCCCCTACTGGTACATGCCCTTGACCAGAATCGAACCTGGGACCTTTCAGTCTGCAGGCCGACGCTCTATCCACTGAGCCAAACCGGTTAGGGCCACACTCCACTTTAGATCCCTCCCCTTGTCAGAACCAGGTGCAAAGTCCACTCTGTCAGATGCTGGTGTTACCTCATACGGTGTCAGCAGCGGCTTGGGGAAGGCTGTGCCCCAGTCAATGGAGAGGCGTGGACATGCCACCTGGACCCACCTGGGAAGGGAAGTCAGTCAGACCCAAGGGAGGTCTTCCCCTCTCCTGGGCAGCATGCTGACGAACATGACTGTGTCCCCAACACATCCAATGAATGCTTACTCTGAATTCTAAAGTTAAGGTGGTAAGTACTGCTGTTACAATAACACTGTAGTGTTGCTGTTCCCGTCCCTGATTACACGCTTTCTGAGGACAGGGCCTGGGCAACCTCCTTTGTGATAGTACTCCCAGAATCAATTTTAGTGCCTGGCACAATGCAGATGCCAACCACCCCTCAATCTCATCTCTTACAGAACCACTGTGATGGTGCAGATGCCTGCCAGCCCCAAGGCAGACAAGAAAGTATGATCCAGAGCAGCCCCTGCTGGATGAGTGCTCTGTAAACAGTAGCATTTCATGATCATGGAAGCAATTCCTGTTGACGCCAGCCCTCAATATGTGCTAGGAGGGACCCAAATTCTAAACTTCGTTAGCCAGTAGTAGCTAGATAGATGAGGTGGGGAAACTTACACGTCTACCTGCGGAAGCAGACTCAGCTTGCTGGGGAAGATCTCGGAGAGCAGCAGCCTCACGAAGGGCAGTCCCAGGGCTTGCAGCCTGGATTCCAGGTGCTGTTGGTAGAGGAAGGCAGAGCTGGAGCCATCAGGATCCAGCTGCCAAGGCTAAATTCTCTGGCTTACTGATTTTCCCACTGACTGATGGTTTCCCAGTCTGCCCCTTCCCCAGAGGCCATCCCATGCCCTCTGACCTCCAGAATCTTGGGGCTGCCCTGACGGCCCAAAGTGCCCAGGATAAGGCCCCAGGATTTAGCTGAGCGGGCGGTGGCTATGGCTTCTTGGCGGTTCGTCTGCATTCGCTGATGGTCATAGTGCTCCCTGGATAGGACTTTGCTGTATGGGTCGTATCTGGAAAAGAAGCTGTCAGGGTCACGATGGCATCCACTTGTGGGACTTGGGCTGTATGCACAGCTCCCTGACTCAGCCGCTTGGTCTCCCGAACCTTCAGGCTCCACGCAGGTAATTAGGGACAGAGGCGAGAGCATGGGTTGCTATTGGGAAGGACAGTCCCACAGCTGGGCAGGCAGGAGCGGGAACGGGTTTTAGGAAGCCATGTGAATCCCAGGGGACGGGTAGGCACTGTGCAGCAGCAGCCCTAGGTCTGGTGTTAGATTCAGGACCCAATACCTTGTATCTTTAGGGCTGGGGGCTGTTAAAGGGCCAGGGAATGAGGATTTGGCTGAGTGAGGGCCTCCGTGGCAGAGAATCCCACCCTCTCCCCAACTGGCTGACCCAGCTCAGCCCATACCGGTAAGCAGGGACATCAGGGTTGGCAATCATGACGGACTCCAGGTGGAAGCGACCATCTCCAAGGTATCTGCGGGGGGGGGGGGGGGAGTGGGAGGGGAATGTAAAGGGGGTAAAGTGTGGTGGGGCAACGGAAGCAGCAGGCACTGGCTTGGGGGACAGAGGACTGCCTTCTTGGCTGGCTGTGCCTACTGGCTGTGTGAACTGGAAGAAGTCATTTCACTTCCCGTGGTTTTGGTTATCTTACATGCAAAAAAAGGAGCTTGGACTGGATGACCGTAAAGCCCCTCTAGTTATTTAATGCAGAAGCTAAGAACGCCCCAACCTCCTGGGAGTAAAGCACAGCAGAGGCCAGGTAAGGCTGCTCCGTGCTCCAGGCTGTAGAGATCCTCACTTGGAGAAGGAGGTGGGGGGAGAGACAGATTCTCTCTCGCTCACTACAGACAAGGGAGTCATGTTCAGGGTGTTGTCTAAGCTGTAAATGAGGTTCCAGGGATGCACTGGCTACTCTCTGCCCTAACGGGCTCCCGGGCCCAGCTCCGGAGTTGCAACAATAGACACTGTTTATTGGACTTCTGCTTTCACTGGGCCTGGGCTAAGCACCTGGCATGTATGACTTCACTCAGGCCTATCAAATAATCCGCTAAGCTACCCAGACTGTCCCCATTTTACAAGATACCCCTGAGGTTCAGGGATGGTAAGATACCGCTGAGGTTCAGTGTGGCTTAGTTGGTTGAGCACTGTCCCCTGCACCAAAAGGTGGCCAGTTGGTTTGATTTCTATTCAGTACACATGCCCAGGTTATGGGTTCCATCCCCAGTAGGGGGTGTGCAGGAGGCAGCCAATCAATGTTGGCTCAGTGGATAGAAGAACTTCCGCCTGTGGACCTAAGGGTCCCGGGTTCAATCACAGTCAAGGACATATAACCTGGGTTGCAGGCTCCTCCCTGGCCCGGGCCCTGTTCAGGGCGTGTGCAGGAGCAACCAATCAATGTTTCTCTCATATCGATATTTCTCTCCGCCTTTCCCTCTCTCTTCCACTTTCTAAAAAAAATCAATGGAAAAATATCCTCAAGTGAGGATTAAAAAAAGAAAAAAAGAAACTTGCCCAAGTCACACAGCTATGAAGCAGTATATCTAGGGCTTAACTCTAGGCCTAACAATCAGGAGGCTGTACCCAGCATGCCCTGGGAGACGCCATCTCTATCCGCGCCTTCACAGAACACGAAGAGGCCAGAGGGTGGAAGAAAACGTGCCATGGCAGCTCCTTCCCTGGGAGACCACACTGAATTCTGAGGAATGGCCAACACTCAGGGTCCCCTCCCTCCAGCGCACACGTCAGAGCCCCCAGGGGTAGGCATCCGTGAGCTCAGTTATGCAGGCACGGGCACACGGGAAGTGCCGCGTGGGAAGGACTGCCAGGTCTGGGCTGGCAGTGGGCAGGGGTGTCTGTGTGAGCACAGCAAGACCCGTGCAGCCAGAATCTGCAGCCCTTAAGGTGGGCTCAGTCAGGGGAGTGCCTCCTTTCCTGCCGTTAGCTAGGAGCGGGGCTCCCCAGTCCCAGCCAGGAGCTGTCAGCTCTGAGTTTGGCTGCATTCACACAACATTAAGCATTTCCATTACCTAAAATAATTAGGCAGCAGGAGACATGCCGCTCCTACTTGTTAGCTGTCCGGATGCTAAATTAATGGGGCTCCAGCCTGGGTGTACCCATCCATCTTCTCCAATTATATTCCCACCATTTCTAGCACACCATCACCCCCGTCAGGCCCTCTGATTCCTGCCCCACCCTGAGCATACCCTTCTGGAGTGGACAAGGGCACTGGTGAGGGAAGACAGAAAATCTGAAACCCTATTTGGACCCCATCTTGCTGGTGACCTTGAGCAAATAGTTAAGGAGTTTTAGGCTCCTGGGGTACATTTCTTATGCCTGTAAAATTGACACCCCCATTTTTCACTTACACAACAGCCTCCACCTCTTTGGGCAGGCAGGGTGACGTGCAGCCCAGAATCTCCCCAGGGGACAGGGGCTTACACTGTGGGACACTCATGTGATACTCAGTTTTCAGCTCCTGGGCAACAGCCTGTAGGGAAAAGAAGAGAAGAAAAGCAAGAGGCTGGGGAGGGAGGGCCAGAGCTGGAGGACCGGCCTGCATCGCCGGCACGGGGACTAAGAACAGCTTAGAGACTGGCTGCTGCCTGTCCACTTACCTGCAAGGTGGACACAAACTGTATGGTGCTGACCAGGGCGAGGGCACTGGCCGGGGGAAAGGTGAGGCGGATCGAGTCCAGGAGGTGGGCAGTGTCTATCCGGATGTCCACAAAGACATACAGCACCCGAAAGTCTTGGGCAGACGTGTCCATGGGAACTGGGAGGAGGGAAGAGTTCAGGGACTGCGGCTTCGAAGGCAGAAGGGGCAGGCCTGGCCCAGTGGCTTCGAGTTGGGGACAGAAGGAAGTGGTGGGGGAGGGGGCGTCACAGGCCTGTTAGAATCTCCTTTTTGGTCACTTGGGGGGATGAGGGGTAAGGGAACCGCCTGCTATACCAACAGCCTTTCAACAACCCGCATCTGGGAGGGCAGCATGGTTTCTAAGGCAACCAAATCCAAAGGAAAGATCCACCTGCAGAGCAGGAAGGCTGAGGCCACCCCAGAAACCAGGAGGAACCTCATGCTTGCAAGCAGGACAAGGCACTGTGATGGGAATCAGCGTGCAATCCGGCCTCCCTGCCAGCCCTGCCAGGGTCCCTGTGTCCTGTCCGCCATACCCAGGCAGCTGTGGCCATAGTGCACCAGGAAGTCAGCTCCCAGGGCCCTTGCCGTGAAGTCATCCACACAGCAAGCCCCGTAGGTCACATCACCCATCACCATCACTTCGGCCTCGGTGAACCTGTGTGGATGGACAACAGTGGCTCGGTGGTCCAAGGAGCGAGGTGGAAGAGAGATCTAACCCTGGGCAAGTATCGCAGGGCCCAGCTCCTCCCTCTCTACCTCACCCAATTCCTTGGGTAGGCAGCTGCCACTTCTGCCAACGAAGAGTAGGAGGGGCCCAGCTGCCACCTCCTCCAGCCCTGGCAGCAGCTCCTGGAATTATAGCTGTGTGAGGATGGTCTGTGTAGCACCCCAATTCCTCTGCTCAGGCTCACACTACAAGAGGGACCCCCAAATCTCAGACTGGCATACCCGGGGTCAAATAAACACAGACCTCCTGACTCATCCCACGAAGAGCAGTGAGCATGTACACGCAAAGGCATCTGTCCCCAAGTCTTGGGTGTGTGGGCATGCGTATGTGGGATACATAGCCTCCCTGATGCCCAGACCCCCTGCTAACTCCTCAACCTTAATCAAGGCCCTCTGTGCCCAGGATGGGGGGGGACCCATGCATAGCTCCCCCATAGCACATGACACTGCCCACACACCCCATGTGTCAGGAAGAGTGGGCTCTGGCCAGCACATTGCCAGATCTGTCAGCCCTGAATCACTGTGGGCTGGGGGTGGGCTGGAAGACCCTTCACCCCCTGAATTCACTATAGGAATGGAGCCGAGGACCAGCTCCTCCCTGTGAGACCTGTCCCTGGGGCATGCATTCTGGCTCAGTGACTGGGGTCACTCATTTATCTCCTAGGGGCATGGTGGAGAAAGCTGAACTGCTGCCAGTTAGCCTCTCTCCCTCTCCCTCTCCCTCTCCATCCCGATCCCCATCCCCAAATCAGGTTGTGCACAAAAGCAGATTATTCAGCTCCTTAAAATGCAGCCCAGGCATGAGTCAGCCTGAGCACTTAATTTTTTATAGATTAAGATGTATGCAAATTGGCCCAAGCCCCAGAGAGCATCCCTACGGGGCAAGAGGATGGGAGTAGGGAAGTGAGTCTGTGGCAGCGGGATTAGGAGCAGGGTGCGGGGAGGGCAGCAGCAGCAGGGAAGTGGGAGGCTCCCATCACGAGATGACCTCCCCTTTCTCCCTTCTCCCTCCCGGTTCCTGTGTGGGTTCCAGATGGCTGAGCACTCACCCCCACTGCCCAAGGATGGCTCATTGTATTGAAGAAACTTAGAAGAAAGAAGGAAATGAATACCATCTCTAAGGCACTTCTCCCCAATAAGCCCCTCCTTGCCCTATTCCTCAAGATGTGCCAGAAATGAAGGTTCCCCTTGGCCAGACAGCGAGCAGACTACTCAGCCCATTCCATGGTCAGCTCTGAGGATTTTTTTTTTAATGCCAAGTGTATTTTTATTTTTTTAAATATGTTTTATTGATTTTTAACAGAGAGGAAGGGTGAGAGAGAGAGCTAGAAACATCGATGAGAGAGAAACATCGGCCAGCTGCCTCTTGCACACCCCCTACCAGGGATGTGCCCACAACCAATGTACATGCCCTTGACCGGAATCAAACCTGGGACCTTTCAGTCTGCAGATCGACGCTCTACCACTGAGCCAAATCGCTTCGGCTTATTCTTATTTTTTATTGATTTTTTTTTTTTTTTACAGAGAGGAATTGAGAGGAATAGAAAGTTAGAAACATCGAGGAGAGAGAAACATCGATGAGAGAGAAACATCTATCAACTGCCTCCTGCACAACCCTATGGGGAATGTGCCCTTGACCAGAATCGAACCAGGGGGTCTGATCCTTCATCCTGCAGGCCGACGCTCTATCCACTGAGCCAAACCCATTTCGGCAGCTCTGAGGATCCTTCTCCTCAGGCCCCACCAACTGCTCTGTCTTAATTTTGGGTTTTCCCCTTTGTATGTGCATGGTTGTAAGGCAGAGGTCCAGAAGGAAAGAATCATATCAACAGGCAAAGCTGTAATGGCCATAAGGTCTTGGCTCAGCTTCCTTTCCTGTACCCCAAACCTCACCTTTCCAAGATATCCACAATGGTGCAGGCGAAGAGCAGAAGGCCTTCCGGCATTTGCAGGGCCACTGCGAGACAAAGCAGACACATGAGAGCAGAGGATGGGGAGGCAGAGGCTGGAGTGGGGACATGCCCCTGTGTGGGCCAGGCAAGCTCTCAGCCCCACCCCCGCTCAGAGCTTGGAGGCTTACCCTTCTTGGCCTGGGCCTGCTGGATCCTCCAGATGGTCTTGGGGATCTCGAAGTTATAGTTGGAAGGCAGGACTTGAATGGCTGCCTGCAGCTGAGGGTTGTTCAGGATCTCAGGGGGTATCTGATTGGCCAAGCGGCCCCGAGGGACTCGACCTAGGATCCACACAGGGCCTGCGTCAGCACCTGCCGATACCACAGCCAGACCCAGACCCAGAGCCCAGATCCACTGGGGCCTGCCCAGCCATCTTCCCCACTGACTCATCCTGAAGCTGCTGGAAAGAAAGCTCAAGCCAGGAGGAAACCTGCCCAACTCATGTCCATGTTGTGAGATTACTGGGAATCAAAGACTTGAGCCATGAACGGGGTACAGTTCACCCCTTACCTCAGGAGAGCAGAGGTGACACCGGGGGAATGAAATGAGGGGCAAATGGGAAAAAAAAAAAGTCCAAAGAGCTGCTCCTTGATAGAGAGCAACCCGAAGGAAAACCCAGGATCTGTGGCAACCCAAGAATTCTGGGAAAATGTGCCTCCTCGCCCAACCCGAGAACACCTTGGAGTTCTGAGGTCCTAGATACGAGATCTAGAAGCAGCACACTGTTATGAATGCTAATGTAAAAGACTGCCTTCCTGCCCGGCCCGCGTGATGCAGTGGTTGAGCATCAACCTATGAACCAGGAGGTCATGGTTCGATTCCTGGTCAGGGCCATGCCCAGGTTGCCAGCTTGATTTCCAGTATGGGGTGTGCAGGAGGCAGTCAATCAATGATTCTCTCTCATTAGTGATGAGATACAGTCTATCTCTCTCTCTGTCTCCCTCTCCTTTCCTCTCTGAAACCGATATATATATATATATATATTTTTTTTTAAAGATTCTCATCCTTACTTGAGTACACGCATTATGTCTATACTGGTTAATTCCTGCACTCTTCCTTCTCATTTAAAAAAGGGAAATAAACAAATACATTTAACAGACTTAACAAGTTCCCTGGTTCCGTTGTTCCACCCCACTTCCCACCCCAGGAAGAATGAAAACAACATACTCTAGTCAGGCCTGTGGGAAAATAGGTTTAAGGGCGGAAAAGCTATTTGATCTTTAGGGGACAGTAGTCTAGTGGGGGCAAATGTAGATACACAAATAATTACAATCCCCTGAGTAAAGGAGAAAACACTGTAGCCCCTTAGCAAAGCTGAAGCTCTTAATCTGCATCCTGTTCCCCACAATTTAGTTTAGCTCAACCCTGTTATCTCTCTTTAAAAAAATAAATAAATAAATTTAAAATATGTATATTTTTTATTGATTTTTTTACAGGGAGGAAGGGAGAGGGAGAGAGTTAGAAACATCGATGAGAGAGAAACATCCATCAGCTGCCTCCTGTACACACCTCCTACTGGGGATGTGCCACAACCAAGGCACATGCCCTTGACGGAAATCGAACCTGGGACCTTTCAGTCCACAGGCCGATGCTCTATCCACTGAGCCAAACCGGTTTCGGCAACCCCGTTATCTCTTTAGGAGCCAGGCAGTTTGGGAATGTAATAAGGCAAGAAATGAAGTAAATGCATGAATACTGGCTGAGTCTGTACTGTCTGTGCCAGAACTCCTGTTAGGGTCCTTTACTATGATGGGTGGGATTCTCCCAGACCTGGTGGGTGGGGTGGTGGTGAGGTGGAGAGCTAGCATGGCCCATCAGGACCCTGAAGCCAGGTTTGAATGCTACCACTGTGGTTTTGCTCAGTCGTTCCAAAGGCCTTGGAACAACCAGCCCAGTGCTCCTGGGCCCCTCACAGAAGCTCCGGGGACAGGCATCCTTCCCTTGTAGTGGTTGCTGAGGTGTAGGAGCTGGTAGTCTTGGCAGCTCCGTTTGTCACAGGGACCAGTAGGCGCCGCCTCCTTTAACACGCGGCTAAACCTTCCGTTTACATCCGTTATTCTCGGAAAGACTCAGGTCCCCGAGTCTAGTCCCTGGACCTTGCACAGCCTGGTACTCAGTGGGCGCCCAGGAAGTGCCTGGCGGATGAAAGCACGAGCCCCTTCCCTGACAGCATTCCCTGCGACCCCCGTGCAGGGCCCGCCGCAGGGCGCCCGGCTCCCGCCCTCCCAGCCAGGCCCGTCTTCCCCGGGAGTCTCCACTCTTCAGGCCGCGGGCTCCGGCCTCGGCGGAGGGCAGTTTCGGGCTGGAGGACCACAAACAGCACCCTGGGCTCCCGTGACAGCGGCCCGGAGCGAGTGATGGCGGGGCCTCCCATGTCCTGCCTAGGACGTGGGGAGCCCTGCCCGGAAATGCGGGGTCCAGAGGCCGCAGCGTCGTGAGCACCCACCTTTGCCGGGGCCGCCTCGGCCACCCGGCCCCGCTGCCTCGGAAGCCACCAGCGCCGCCATCGCCGGCCTGTCCACGTGGGAACCGGGAAGGCAGCGCTAGAGGAATGCGGAGCGCGCAGACTTGGCGATCGCTCGCCGATCGGGGCGAGGGGCGGGGATTGGCTGGGCGGGGATTAAAGGGGCGGGGATTGGCTGGAAGGAGGAGGAAGGGGCGGGCCTCTGTGGGCCCGGTTCGGCCCTCAAGGTCGGGGCTCGCGAGAGCCCCTAGTGGCCCCGGGCCGCAGCGGCTGCGCTCTCCCCGCTGGCCTGAAGCTGGCACTCCCGGGCAGGGCTCTCCTATCTGCCTGCTCCTGCTCAGACTTCTGCGGGCCGCCGTTCTGTGAACGGGAACACCACCAGGTCTTCCATCTGCTCCCCTCCCTGGTGAAAGCAGTGGACGCGTGTAGGTGGGGCCACATTCCCTACCTCGGAGGACTCCACTGCCCCACAGGATAGAACTCTGTGCCCAGCTCCAAACTGAGTCTTGGTGCCGGTTTCCAGAGCGCCCCCGGGTGCCCTTCTCACCTTTAGAACCCACAGTGTGGAAGGGTCACATGTGAAAAAATGCTACCAGGAGAAGGTCCTGAGCCGCAGCTTTGAACAGGGATGTGGCCAACATGGGTCCAAAGAACACACCTTGATGAGAGTCCAGCCTAAACTTCCCACCTTTCTCAGTTTCTCTGGATCCACAGGGCGCAGGATATCCATTCTAGGGATCCCCTCATTCCAGCTTCTCCCCCTTTACAACACGAAGGTCCAACCTGTGGTCAGCTCTGGTTCTGGATGCAGCTTTAAGTGAGGATGGGGCAGTCCGAGGACTCAGATTCTGGATGCTGGCCCATGTTTTCCTTGCCTAACCTGCCCCTTAGGCTTATGGTAGATTTCTCCTGCTCAGTGCTGAGCTCCTAGGATCCCAGAGGGAAGGCAGAGCAGCCGGTGAGACAGCGTGGGCCTTTGAAAGAGCAGAGTGCCTTCAAGACTGGCCTTCAGCAAGGTCTGCCCCATAGAGCAATGGGTTCCCCAGAGCCACTTGCCCACCCAGCCTTCTGGCACCATCTTCCCCTCTCTGCAGTGGTGATGTGAGCACAACGGGCCCTTTAAGACAGCTCTGTGGCCTCAGGCTCCCCTGGAGGCCCTTCCAGCTTGGAAACTCCTAATTAAGGCGCAGAGAGAAGTGAAAAACAAGCAGCCGGGAACTGGCCCTGCCTGGGAGGCTGCCCAGAGAGGAGGGTTGGCTGGGCAGGCTGGCCGTGAGCAGCCAAGCGGAGGATCAGCAGGAGTCAATGTTCTGCCCCTGCGACCACCAACTCTTGCTCTTTACAACTTTGAACAGGGATGTGGCCAACATGGGTCCAAGGAACACACCTCTCCCCTTGATGAAAGTCCAGCCTGAACTTCCCATTTTCCTCAGTGTCTCTGGATCCCCGGGGCGCAGGATATCCATGCTAGGGATCCCCTCAGTCCAGCTTCTCCCCCTTTACCACACAAAGGTCCAGCCTGAGGTCAGCTCTGGGTTCTGTATGCAGCTTTAAGTTCCAAGAAGGGAGAAGATTGGCTTCAGCAGAGCAGTGGCTTCTCCCTAGCCGGCACCCTGCTGGGCCTTTTTCTGAGGTGGAGGCGGGGGCGGTGCAGGTAGAGGTGCTTGAGAATGGGGACTTTCATTGCACTACAGCCTCTGTGCCTAAGGAGCTGCCCCAGCCCCCAATAGGAAACCAGGCGGTGTACAGGACAGGTGTGAGCATGTCCCCCGAGACCCTTGTTGTTGTGCAAAACATTGGGGGCTGTCCTTCAACTTGGTCCAAGAACACCTCCATCTGTCTGTGGGGGGTCTCCCTGCCGGAGTTACTCAGCAGGCTGAGTAATTACTGCCTGACAAGAAGGCGGGCGCAGTGCACCCCCACATTATACCACAACACCCGCCTACAGTCACCCCCACCCCTGGCTGGACTCCAAAGCCGCACTCAGCCCTCCGGAGGCTGAAATAACTCTGCTTCTCACACTCACGCCCTGTTCCAGCCAACTCTGCCTAAGATGCTGGGGTTTGCGGGGCCGGGGTCATGGGGAGGCGGCTTGGGGAGGTGGCAGGAGGAGTCACACACCCTGCTTCAGGCTGGCAGGTTGGCCCTGAGCTGCAGTATGATATACTAAGCATGTTGTGCAACCTCCCTGGGCCTGTTTCCTTGTGGAGGGCCTCTGCAAGCTGTGTCATTAAGTTCAGCGTCAGGGTCAACCTGGCAGGGCTCAGGCAGGGAGTGGGGGCATCCCAGCCTGGCTAAGAGAAAGAATGCCTTCGGTTCCCACCTTCAGATGGACCAATCTGCTGAAACCGGTTTGGCTCAGTGGATAGTCTCGGGCTGTGGACTGAAAGGTCCCAGGTTTGATTCCCGTCAAGGGCATGTACCTTGGTTGCGGACACATCCCCAGTAGGGGTGTGCGGGAGGTAGCTGATCCATGTTTCTCTCTCATCGATGTTTCTAACTCTCTATCTCTCTCCCTTCCTCTCTTTAAAAAATCAATAATATATATATATATATATATATATATATATATATATATATATATATATATAAAAGATGGACCAATCTTCAGAACAAGGTTACTTTCTCACCTTGTTCTCCCATGGGCATTGCCTAGAATGGCCTTTCTCATTCTCAGCCTGTTGAACACAGCCCTCAAGATCTAACTCAGCCAAAGCCGGTTTGGCCTGTGGACTGAAAGGTCCCGGGTTCAATTCCGGAAAAGGGCATGTACCTTGGTTGCAGGCACATCCCCAGTAGGGGAGTGTGCAGGAGGCAGCTGATCGATGTTTCTCTCTCATCCATGTTTCTAACTCTTTATCTCTCTCCCTTCCTCTCTATAAAAAAATCAATAAAATATATTAAAAAAAAAAAAGATCGGCCCCCTCTTCTGTGAAGCCTTCCTGATGGGCCTTCACTTCCCTACAGAGCCAGCAGGGAAGACATCCTGTGTATCTCCTCTTGTAACATTGAAAAGCGGATTGTGGGTCTTTCTTCCCTAAGCTTCTGGAAACCCAAGCTTACACCATTAGCTCACACCCAAGCTTCAGGCATCGAATGCGTGCAATGGTGGTGAATGGATGATACTGGCCTTTCTGACCTTCCTACTGTGCCAGATTCTTCTCCAACAAATCACACCACTCATCCTCTCAGTTTAATCACATCTCTGCTTAGGTGTCACTTGCTCAAAGAGCTTTCCTCCCGCGACCCCTCATTTCAGCTCCAGAATACCGCCGTTTGCTTTTCTCCCAAGCACCGTCTCACCCAGACTTCCCGCATGAGGTCCCTAGTAGACCGTAAACTCCACAAAGGCAGGGGCCTTCTCTTTTGCAGGGGCTGGAGCCCCAAGAACAGTGGTGTCTCACACAGGATAGACCCTCAATAAATACGTGGTGAATAAGCGACTTAGCCCACTTTTTCTCTGTCAGGACCTCTCTTATGCTGAGTCTTATCCTAGGCCAGTAGGGGGTGCCGGCCTCCACCCAGGATCTCGCCTAGCCTGAACGCTCAGCCCAACCTGCCCCCCTGCGGGACCTACTTTCTAGGCGGTGCCGCCTCCATTTTCTGCAAAGCCCCGGCGGGGTCCGTGCAGACGGAGGGAAATCAGAGGGTCCCCTAGGCGGAGGGAGCTCACTGGAGCCCCCCCTTGGGTTCTTCCCTCTCTCTGGGGTTTGTAGCCGGGCCTCCTGGAATGCTTGCTGCGAGGTCTAGATCCGCCTGGGGGCACGCCACACCTCCTCCTCCAAAGGACAGTGTCCTGGGGCGCAGGACGCGGGGCCAGGCGGCAGGGTCTGCCGGAGCTGTCCCGGGCCGGGAGGAGCCGTCGAGCCTCCTAGGAGGAAGCCGAGCCGACCCAAGAGGCGATGGGCAGGGACGCGGACTTGTGACCGCGGGCTCTGGGCGGCGGTCGGTCGCCTCGTCCCAGCCGGCCGGTCGGCTGAGCGGAGCGCACGCTTCCAGCTGCCTGGCTGGGTGACCTCCATCCGCGAAGGGCGAACGGGCGGCGGGTGGGGCTGCGGGGACGAGCTTTGGGGAGCCCACGGGGACGGGGAGGGGGCTTTCCGAGGGGTCGGAGGGCCGGCACGGGGGCTGGGGCAGGTCCTGGGACGGCCCGGGGTGGAGGAGAGTGGTCCCCGGGCGCGGAGGGCCCGGAGAAAACACCTCGGGAGGCGGCGCCGCGCGGCGGAGCGCCGCTGCCCTGGGAATAGGACGGCGCTCGGCAGGCTCCGCGGGCTGAGAGCACTTTCATAAATTTTGTATGGGAGGCGCTCCGTGAGCGGGGGCGGGGACCGGGGCGAGGAGGAGGGAGCTGGCGAGGGAGGGAGGGAAGGAGGGCGGGAGGGAGGAGGGAAGGTGGGGGAAACCGGCGGGGGGAGGAAGGGAGGCGCCCCGCTCCGCCGATCGCTCGGTCCTGCAAACGCGCGCCGGGCGCTCTCCCCGGAGCCCCGCGCTGCGTGCCAGCGCCCTTGTGCAGCAGCAGCCCGAGGGGGCGGAGAGGAGGGGGCTGCGGCCGGGGAGGTAGGGGGGCGGCATCCCCCCTCAAAACCGCCTGCAAAGTGCTCCGAGCTGCAGACAGAGGCCGCCGGATTCGCAGAGCAAAGCCGCTCGTCCCGGGGCTCGGCGAGCGCGCGGGGCCGCCGGGCAGCGCGGAGGGTGCGGGTGGGCGCCGGTGCCCTCTGCGCGGGGCTCGGGCTCACCATGCCCCTGCGGGGCCGGGCCGCCGGGCACCAGCGGGTTCCCGGCTTGCCGCCGCCTCCACGCGCTCGGATTAGCGGCAGCCAGCGCCCGAGGATTTGAATCCGGACCCCGGAGGGAGCGCGTCTAAGGCCGACCCCAGAGCTGCGGCCCCGCGGCCAACATGCTTCTCAAAGGTGAGTTGCAGCCGCAGGGGCAACTTGGAGTTGGATGCGCGCGGGGCAGAGCCGCGGTCCGGTCCTGGGAGTTGCCTGGAGCCGGGGCTCGGGCCGGGGAAGCAGCCCCCCGGCTGGCTGGCGGGCTCTGCGGGGTGCGCCCGGGCGGAGGGGTTGTTGCTGGAGCTCAGCCGGGTTCCGTGGCCCCTGGGGACACACGGGATTTGCCTCGTGGATCAAGCTGTCAGGCCTAGGGATCAGGCTGGACGAGGTCATTTGGAGACCACAGTGAGGAGCTGCCCCTGGTGGAAGGGGAGCCAGCCTCCTGGGACCTCTGCTTTGCTATGACAAAGTTTTGCACTTGCAGGCTCCGTCCCCGTTGGCGGCTCCTGCCGCTTGGTGGGGGCCGGTCCAGCCCGCTCCGGTGCAGCCTCCGGTCCGTCCCTGCGCGGCCCGGGCACTCCCCGTGCGCCCCAGCTTCCCAGGTGGGGCTGGGGCGCGGGCACCTACCCTGCAAACCCAGCTTTGGTCTCAAGGGACGGGGTCCGGGCACCCCGCGGCCGAGGGGATGGCGAGCGCCTAGTGTCCGGTTCCTCAAACTTTCCCTTCGCCTGGAACGGAGGGATGCGGACGCGGAGGCCGTGCCGGCTGCGTGCGCTGCCTGTGCCAGGCTGCACTGGAGGTCTGGCCCAGGGACCACCTCGCCACGACCCCCGGCAGCACGGCTCCCCGCCGCCGAGCGCTGCAAAGTTGGCGCCCGCGCCGGGGAAGTTCCGCTGCGCCCCCACGTGGCCGCCGGCGGGGAGCGGTCCCCGGGGCCCCGGGAGGGCAGGTGACCGCGGCGTGAGTCCGTGGGCCCCACCACCCGCAGCCCCGACCTCCGCCTTTGCCTCTGCCTCGCTCCTCTCCCAAGTCCGGGGGGCTCCGCGCCCCGCCGCCCCCATCCCCGTCCGTCCCTGGCTCGGGCCGGGTGGCCGACCAGCTCCGGCGCCGCCCGCGGCGGGCAGTGCGTTTGCCCTGCGGGAGCGGCTGCAGCGAGAGCTCAGGTAACGGAGGGGCCTGATCCCTGCGCTCCGCGCTCCAGCCTTAATCCGCCCTTGTTTCCATGGCAACAGACCGAGGTGTCGTAAGCAAGGGATTCTGACCTCACAGTGGGATGGAGAAGGAGAAAACGGGCAGGAGGAGGTGGCCGAGGACGGGGAAGCGAAGCCTCCAGGTGGACGGGGAGAAACAGATGCAGGGGCGATGGAAGAGACCCCCCTAAGCAGGCTGGACAGGTGGGAGAAGAAACCACGCCGTCAATGGGACCAATAAAGGCTGTGGGATGGTCTTTCCCTGCTCAGGCTGACCCAGGGTCCCGGGTCTTGGCAATACAAACTTGTGCGTGACTTGTGCCCTCCACGTGGGTCGGTGGTGCAGGGCCGAGGAGGAAATGGTGACTGCCTTTCGCTGTGGCGAGGGGAAAGTCTCCCTGGCTGGTGAGAAAACCCTTCCCCCATGCACCCCAGTTCCTTGTCCCTGCAGAAAGCGTCTAAACATGCGTTCAGCAACCAGAGAGCCTCTGCACAGAGAGGTGCTTTCCACAGAGCTGAGCGCAGGCCCAAACCTGCCACGCTTGGGCCTGGAGCCTGCAAACTCGCCCGTATGGGGAAGGCTTCCCCCTCGGCCAGGTTTAACAGGCCACCATGTTTGCCTGCAGGCCCGTGAGGGAGAGAACAGGGGGGACTTGACATCTCCTTTCCCCTTTGGCCTTTTGTCTTCTGGCACCCTGCCGTGAGAAATAAGCCGAGAAGCAACCCCCACACTCTGGATGGTGTAGGTGCTCAGGGAGGCTTGAGCAGTCTCAGGAAGCCTTTCTCTCCCATCTTGGCTCGCCACAGGCCCCAGGTGGGATGAGCCCAATGCATTGTGGGGGCCATTCCTGGGGGAGGCTCTTACCCAGCTCAAGAGGTGGCCCTGGAGGCTTGGCAATCACGTGTGTTTCCAGAGAGGCCGATTCCCTCTCCCTGTACAGCGCGGCTGATGGGAGAGCTACCAAAAAGAGGTTTCCACCTGGACTGGCCTGAGGGACATAGAGGAGAGGAAACTGCTCGGTGCCCTGGAGCCTGCTGCTTGGACATTGTGTGGGCAAAGGACTTTTGTTTTGTGTGTGTGTGTCTTTTTTTCTGGGCAGTTTTCTCCCTCTGCCCCAGATCTGATCCCTAGGACTTGTGTGTTTTACACACTTGCAGGACACTCAGATTCTCGGTGTGGGTTCTAGGTATGTGCCCGCAGCCAAAGGTGTGCCTGAGGTGAATGTCAAGGAGGGTGGCCATTGAAGTCTCTGCTTCTCGAATTGTCCTAAAGGCTCCGATCAAAAATGCTATAGTGGGGGTTGCACTTTCTGTCTGTCTGATGCAGAGTCCTGCATGGGGTCCTGCCCCTGAGAAGTTCCGTATTTCCATTATGATTTGGAAAAGAGTTTGAAAGATGAAAAAAACAAACAAACAAAAAAAGTAGCCTTCCCTAGGTTCTGGGGAAGAGAGGAGAAGAGAAAAGAACCTTACCTTCCTGCAAAGGATAGGGCTTATGGTCTTGACCATGATGCTGTGTGGAGTTGGGAGGCTCAGTGATCTGAAACCTCAGAGGAGGAGGAAGGGAGAGTAGTTATTGGACCGTGAGGGTCGCCTCTGGTTTCTGATTGTTTGCAGCGAGCACAAGTTAGGGGGTGCTGCCTTGCAGCTCTTAATGAAGGATTCTGCTGGGCACAGCCCTGCCTTAGTGAGCCAGATCAGCCCTGAGCGCACAGCGGATCCTCTACTGACAGACCTGGGAGCTGAAGGCTTCGGCAGCTGCCCTGCCAGCTTTTCCCTAGCCTGGCCCGCCCCGGTAGAACCAGGGGTGTAAGAAGTAAGCCTCTGATCGGAGATAAGAGACAGGCAGGCAGGGCAAGCGAGGCCCCGAGCCACCCAGTATCATCCAGGAAGGAGGGGCAGCCTGCTGGGGATGTGGCTGAGCCAGACACGGCCTGCTTACGGTCAGAATCTATGGTTTTCCTTGTTAGAGCTGTACAAGCAGCATGCAAATCAACAGCCCCTGGGCTCATACGGAATCTTCAAGTTTCTGTCTTGTTAAGCAAGGAAACAGAGCGCCAAATAGGCTTTGTTAAGTGGCATTCTAATTAATAATTTAAAGCCTTGTAGCTGTCTTTCATTAGAATTTATCTGTACATCAACCACAAAAATCAGTCAAACACACTCATTTATAAGTTAATGCTACCCCTGAATAATTCAACGAGAGCCAGGCTAAGTCCTGCAGCCCAGCAAGATGCATTGTGTCCCTTCAGTTTCCACAGCCAGCGGGGCTGGCCTGGTGGCCAGATCGGGTCTCTTTTGTGGAAAGAAGGGAAGGTGCAGGGGGGACGGGGCCACGGGGTTGCCAGGTGCTGGGTTGGTTTGAGTCCAGAGGTTCCCCAGAGGATCAGAGAATCTCCGTGTGGCAGGTGTGAACAGGCCCCATCTCTTGGAGCCACTGGTGACACGGCCCACTTCAGTCCCCGCAGAGAGGGGAAGGGAGGGGTGGCCCGTGGACAGCCACGGCACACTGCTTTCTGCTGCAGAGGGAGTGCAGAGGGGACATAAAGAGCCCTGCTTGAGAGGGTGGAGACAGGAGGCTTCAATCTTAGCCCAAACCCGGGTGGAACTTCCCTCTTCCCAGACCAGTTGGGTCCCATTCAAGGAATGCGGCTTCGTGACTCCATTGTCACCAAAACAGCTTCTTTCATTGGGAGCTTCCGGGAAGCTTCTTTCCTCAAAGCCCCGGGCCCTTATGCCAGAAAAGAGAAGCCAAGAGGAGGAATTTGGGGGAGCACCAGGACACCTCAAGAGAAAGAAGAGGCCGAGTGAGTGGCTAACGAAAGTCCGTGCACGCGGTTCCTGACTGGTGGCCCGAATAAAGGCAAGGAGAGCAGTGGCAGCGTTCCATCTGTGAGCTCAGAAAACCGCGTAGAAAATGGGCTTCGGTTCGGTTCCTGTCATGCCAGCACCTCGCTGCAGTCCAACAGGTCCATTTTCTGCAGAGAAACTGTTCCGGACCCAAACTCCCGCCTGGGTCCCCCGGCCCCTCCACTGCAGGGGTGGATGAACCCCAAGGTTTCTGGTCTCCATCTCAGGCTGCCAACCCGGAGCCCTCTGGGGGGTTAAACGGCTCTGGGTATGGGGTCCAGGTAGCTATGTGGAGCAGACGGCGGACTTGATGCCAGGAGAGGTTCTTGGCCAAGTTTGAAAAGAGAAAGTCTCGTTAGGAAAAGGAAGAGGCCCTGGAGGGGGAGGCTTGCCCTCAGACCTGGAGCAGATTGACAGCAGATGGATCCGAGGAGGGAGGCTTGTGGGGTGAATCCGATGCCAAGCTTTGGAGTCGGGACCCGAGAAAGGACAGAGCAGAAGTTCACTTGCGGGAGATGAGAAGGAGGGGGCAGGCATCGTGAAGGATGTCAAGAACGGATCTGGTGGGTACCATCTGCAGCGAAGTAGTGGTTAAGGTTAAAGCAAAGAGGAGATGACAGGGAGGGAACAGATGGCCGAGGAAGCAAAATAGCTGGCGAAACAGGAACAGAGCCTCCAGGGACAGCAGAAGGCAGGACCTCCTCGCAGAGTGCCGGAAGCAGCCCTTTCTTCGGGGTGCCCTGGCCAGACCACCCTGGGTAGAAGTGACGGGGGAGAGAGGAGTGAGGTGGGGACCTTAGGGTGAGGGCTTCTTGGAGCTGGCCAGGGGGTCCAGGAGCAGGGACCTCCTTAGATGCCGTTGACTACGGAGAGGAGGCACAGCTGGCCGGGTGTCCGTCACTAGAGTGAGCCAAAGCCGCCTCGGGACTCGGCATGCCTGGCCGTGCCTGCTGGGAGGAGGGGTGGGTGCTCCCTGAGCACAGGGGCAGCAGGGACTGGACTCCTCTCCCCAACCTGCCTTGGGTCCGCTTGTGCCAGCCCCTGTCCACGTGCTGACCACAGCTGCTTACGATGACTAACGGGCCAAGTTAACTACAC